AAGAGAGTTAATGGTCAGGCAGTGCACGATGGCTTAAGTGGGAACACAGTTGCATGAAGCCACCAGGAAGTTAGAGGCCATTTGAAATGACTGTCTAGATCTTTGAGGAAATTACATTCTGGGTCATTCGACAAGACATTGTGCATTGGATCGGACTAACTGAGAGTCAGAAGTGATGGACTGGGTGGCGGACTGGAGAACAGTCACTGATAGCAAGTTTCCATTTTAGATTGAGTTGTGGTATGGGACACAATAGACTTGATCTTTGTGGGAATTTTGTTTGGTACCCCGTATCTTCTGTCCGGCCGGTCTTCTCGCATGGTGTGTCTCCGTGGCCGAGGACGTCCACACTTTGTGGGGGGGGGGAGAAATGATACAGTGTATAGATTAGATGACTTTTGATGATATTTGATTGTGTTGTGGACCTTCTGAGTGGTCAAAGATGATGAATGTGTGGTTGTATGGACAATGGAACGATTCAATTGATTGTTGTATCATGTACTTAATGTAAGACCACTCGGGAGCATTGTTCTCCCGTTCTCATTCCCTGTCCGCGCGTGGGGGGCCTTCGGCCCCGTATCATTATTGATGGATATATATCTAGTGCTTTAGACACCCTCTGCCAGACCGTATTGGGGGATGAGATACTATCGTGAGCCCCAGCGGCCGCATTATCACATGATCTGGGCAGAGGCCACCCCCTCAAAGGGGGTCAGACTGTAACTTCCATTCTCTCGCCCACTCGCGCACCCCGCGGCTGCACCTGCGAGCCGCACGGTGCCGCGCACCCACTGCGCGCACGGCCACCCCGCGCCCGGCCATCCGCAGGTCTGGGCCCACACTGCGCACCCCGAAGGAGCAAGCGCCCCGAACAGCCCACCGGTCATCCGGCGGAGGAGGCCCATCCGGGCCGAATTGGGCGCCGCGGTGGGAGCCTCGCCCGCAACGAACCGAAAACCACGTCAGTCACCCAATGACTGTCTCATAATTAGTAGATGGCGACTGACTGGGTATCACAACATCATAGACCAATCAACATTGACATGGACAACTGCACAGAGTTGCCAAAGAAGCAAGAAAAATACACTAATAAACTTGCCACGATCTAAGATATAGGAGTCGGCACTAGGCTTGCAATGCCGTCAGGTGCCATTAACCTTGTTTTGGGAATTTTTCTTTGCCACTCAACACCATTATTTTTGTTGATTTGGCAAAATTACTATTTTTATGGCACCAACTTTGACCAAGCACCATAAAGTGCCACCTGGTCCAATTTCTTGTTGTTGTTTGTTGTCCAAGCTGTTGTGGTTGTTGTCTTTTGCCATTTGACTTTAGCATCATGCCGTATAATACCATTGGAGCTTTGTTTTCCTCCCAATACCATTGACAATCTATCAAGGTAAATAGTATTGTCCATCTCTTTTTATCTTATTAGATATATTTTAAAGTAGAAGATGCACTTGCTTTGAGTGTAGCCAGAGGTGTGGGGTTACCCCTAGAGGTGGCCACCCGGATCCGTTAATAGCGGACAGAGGTTAATTTCCGTTAATTTTCCGTTAATTAACGGAAAATAACGAAAAAAGACAAAAATTAACCAAAAATTAACGGATTTTTGGATTTTGGGGGGATTTTTTTGTTTTAGTCATACTTATAGTTTATAGAATTCCCTATTAGAGAGTATGTTTATATTTTATTTCAACATATGCATACTAGATTTTCAACTAGCCGCAGTTGTTGTGATTTTTTGGGTTTTTTTGGATTTTTTTGGATTTTTTTGGATTTTTTTGGATTTTTTTCGTTTTTTCTGAATTTTTCTCCCTTTTTCTTTAACGAAATTTAACGGACAGCTGATAAAAATTAACGAACCGGACTTAACGGACCGGATGGCACCTTTGAGTGGCCACTTCTAGTTACCCAAGCATAGCATTGTCGCCCCAAAGACAAGGCCGCACAGCTTAGCCGATCGCACAATGCACAAGGAAGAACACACGCTGGCACACAAGTTGTCCATAAGCGCTGCGTTTGTTGCCTCAACGCAAGGCAAGGTAACCCAACCGATTTCATAATACGCGGCAAGAGAGGCACGCACTGGTTGACTACAAGATATGTATATGTATGAGGTGACATGCAACTAGGAGTAAGGAACGTGGTGAAGTTAATAGTCTTACAACACTACATTTTGCCCTCTTAACCAAGCAAAGCGCTAACCTAGCAACGCCCATCAAACACTTTGAAAACTATGGTGTCTCAAGGCTAGTCAAAATCTACCCCATTAATAGACAAACTTATATGACCGCTCATCATCAGAGGCAAACTCATCATGTCAAAACAAAGCAACACAAATGCAATGCATAAAGGTGCAATCAACACATTCAAAAGATCAAACGCCCACTAGACAAACAACAAGTCAAAGTCATGCAATATATTAGGAGGGAAAACAACAATGCCTCAAATCCGGTCAAAAGGTGCCCCTCGATAGTGGACAAACCTGCAATGTAGGCCCCTCACGGCTGCTTATCATCATAGGTAACGCCTCAAAAAAAAATAGAGCAACATAATACAACGCATGAAGGTGCAATCACACAAAACACTTGTAAGAACAAAATCACAATCATACTATACACAAACATTTGATAATCAAATGTACATAACATAACTATGCGGCCTTGGCTTTGAGGCAACAATGTTATGCTTGGGTAACCCCACACCTCTGGCTACACTCAAAGCAAGTGCATCTTCTACCTTAAAATATATCCAATAAGACAAAAAAGATGGACAACACTATTTACCTTGGTAAATTGCCAATGGTATTGGGAGGAAAACAAAGCTCTAGTGGTATGATATAGGAGCCCCATGCATGCAATGCGCAAGGCTCCGACCTTGTTATTACTACGGTATTATAGGGTGTGATGGTTGTGACTGGGATGGGAAGTGCATTAGGTGTTTTTTCGTTTATATCGGGGGATTCCTCCTAACTTGATGTTCCAAGAACCTAAAGCTCTTAGTTTTTCACAGCGAGAATGCGAAGAAGATGTACAATACTACCAAACACTGGGAGTACTGCCAAGGGACGCTGAGAATAGGTGAAAAGCGATTGTATTGCATGGACCTCACCCTTTTTGGGTTATATTGTATGACCCTTTGGAAAGGGTCACCTTGGAGAGCGCTTGAGGGGGATAAAACTGGGCATGTGAGTTGTTTGGCTGTCCCAACAAGCGAGGGTGTGGGTCAGTGGAGCAAGGGAACGGTGCTGGACGCGATTGACATTGGCTGGCCATGTAACACCCGGTTGTTTGACGATCTGTATGTTCGCCTCCTCCGAGGTTGTGTGGTGTTGTTGCTGGGTGAAACGTGTAACTCTACATGCCTTCCTTGGACACTCCTGACACTGATCGAATCGTTGACCATGGTCCTCAACGTTGCTGGAGTGTCGATAAGTCCAGCAGCGTGTCCTGAGACCGTCTACAGCCCAGTCGACGGTGATTCTGGACAATTGTTGGTTGGTATCTACAGGAAACGACCAGCCCCGAATGATATGTTGTGGGGCTGTAGACAAGGGCTCTCTGTTGGTGATGCTGGGAGTCCTCTCTACGTATAACGCCAAATTTACCGTTATTGTAGTGAAACACAGCTGCTAGATCGTGCTTGTTGTGAAACGGTGAAGGATTGAAGTTGAAGTGGGATGAGAGCAAGGGTGGCTGCGCCTCGCTTCGGCAGTGCTCTACCAAGCCCCCTTTTCTGAGTACAGCTGGACTTTGTAGTGATTTAGGCACCTCAATTTGCGATCAGAATTGATCAGCCATGGCTGTAAACGAACAGCCATGCAACACAAGCAAGTTTTTGGATGTTTAATGGGCACAATTCACGAATGTGGGCAATTCTTACGATTTGTGCATATTGTTGCATGGACCGAGTTTGCCGAACTCTGGCTTTGTTGGCGATGAGATTGCTTCCAAGTGTTGCACATGAGATTGGGACATTTGTCTGTGTGTTCATTGAAGATTCTATGTCACTATGAGAAAACATCGGAGTCTGGTAAAGCATTATATTGGCACAATAGATTGTACCGCTTTGTGTCAGCGATGAAAACAATGTGCATCTCCAGTTCTGCGCAACATGCAAGCCACCTGTTGCAACATGCTTCTGTTCACACATGGCAGCGTCACATCCTGTCATGCAGGAAATGTGAAGAATACCTAGTCCCAGAAGTTGAGGGACAGTGGGTAATGCTCAACCTATGCCATGGCAGTGCAGGCCACTCAGAATGACAGGAGCTGCAACAACCAGCCAGCCTCACAGGTTTCCACAGGCATCAGCGAGTCCTGATCACAGCAGATTTTGACAATGTACTGGTGCAGGGGCAGAATGTGTGGATTTAGGAGCAACAATGGTAGCAAGCAAGGCCCTTCATCCCTAAAAGAACTACCCCAGCATATACCTGAGCACTGCCTGAAGCCCTTCTCGATGTCGGCATCTGCCAGCTGGTGCCTTGCAAATCTGTGCATAGCTTGACTGATCACATGTTGCTCGGGCATATCACAGAATCATAGCAAAGAGACATTTGCCAGTTTCATCTGCATACAATGCCTGGATCCAACACCTGCCGGCACCCTCACCATGAATTGCCAGCCATCGGTTTCCCACCGTATGTGCATGTGTTGTCTCATGCACCATATCCTTACAGTAGATTCTACATTGTGTGCAATAATACCAGCTGCTGGCGGGGGCGCTGGCAATAACGTGTGGATGCCAACTGCCAAACACTAAAAAGGAAGCAGGCCGAGGCCCACTGCATGAGGTCAGGGTGGAGGACCTGAGGCACTGTCCCACATGCTTTCCACAGGTTCCACAAGCTCTCTAGCAACAGGAAGTGCATGTCCTTACATGACACAATTGGAGATTTCTTCAGGACAGAACTGCTTGTCTATTTCAGGGCACAATTTGCCACTATTGACATCAGACAAAATTGCCGCTGAACACAACGCCTGCAAACACACAGGTCAATATCTCTTCAACCGGAAGGACTGAACAGAGTTCAACAGAGTCTCCTTCTCATCATTCCAACGATCTACTGGAGCAGAGGCACCTACAAAATAGACCTGGCCTCTTGAAGCTGCGATTGACAGAGCATAGTGCTGATCCTCTACAGTCTGGAATTCATACCTGCAAGGAGCAAACCGGGAAAGGAAACGAAGTAAGAAATTCCTTCCACACAAATGGATGAAAATAAACACATCCACTCTAACAGAAGAGAATTCCTTCATCTCAGGTTGCAAACCCTCATGATTATTTGCTTGTTTCTTCCACAGCCAGTCAATGCACACATTCTTACCTGTAAAGGTGTATGTCTGGGAGCTCAATAACACCCCTTATGGTACCCGTGTCATATGGTGGTTGCGGCAGAGTGATCGACTCAGCTGAAAGAAATCTGCTGTTCTTTGGCAGCACCAGCTTGGCAACATCCGCAAGACCACCGTACTGAGTGATGTCAGTGATCTGCAACCCCACAAAACCGCACACAATCAGCACCTGCCAACTCTTTTGCATGAATTAACCCTGAGCAGGCCAAAAGCAACTTACTAAACTTGGGAACTGTAGCCAGATTCCTGAAACAGTCATGCTCAGCACACTACATAGTGTGCTCATCAAGACTGCCCAGCTGGCAGTACTTAGGAGTTCTTGGTGGCAAGGAGAATCTAATAACTCTATGGGAAAAAAAGTTGTTCATGCACACAACTCCCAACACTGTCTTACAGGTGTAAGGCATGTGGATTCTTAGCTGAGGACAATAGAGCAGACTTCAGGACAATGATGTTGAAGAATAGATTGACCATGCATTGGCAACAAAATACAAGCACAAAGTGAGTGGGCAACAATTCCTGACAGAAATTTGATTGTGGAGAGTACAAGAAAGCGGCACAATATCATTGCACCACAGTAAACTGTAGAAACACCATGCTGTCAGTTCTGTAAATTCCATTTCCTTGTCTGTTTTCTCAGCCACAGGTACCAATCCAACTCTTAACACTGGGCTGTTCATTCATAGGCCGACATATATACCCCCAAAGAACAGAACCTGAGGCGTTGCAAGAATGCTGCAATGCACAGAGGTAATAAAACAAGCAGGTGCAGAGACATCAACAAGCAGCAGTACAGAAACAGATGCAGTCTCCATGTACACCGTGATCAGGGTTTCATGAATAGTGTTGACTTGCCTGGAAGAACGTTGGTTTTATGCTGGCAGCATCCCTTACAACTACACTGAGATTCTCCTTGCCATCAGCAGATCCATAACGCAGAAGTGGTGGAGTTGATACAGCTACCCCCAATGTTCCTGGTGCACAGAACGGTGTAGTTCACACAGGAACATGCAACAACCATTATATCCATGATCGACAAATATTTCTTCTCATGCCAACAACACAGCAAAAGTTCTGTCAACAAACTCCCAGACAAAGAATGGCTGCATGAGGGTTGACATTGACACCAAGATGCTTGAATGGCTGCAAACCAACAAACGCAAACCAGTTCATATGTGAAGAAGGTTTGGCAACATATGTGTTCCAGCAGCCTGTTCAGGCTAGCTAACAGAACAGAGATTGGCATCCACAGAATTCTACATCAGTGCGGTGCCCAGGACACTGCTGAGAGCGATATCCTTCTACCAAATGGATCAATGCCCCGAATCCAATTATACCTATGCGCACACCACCCACTGCAACGTGGTGGGCAGTACAGGAGTGACACTGTCCACCAGTGTGAGGACTTGTATGTCTCTTGCAGTGGATGTTGCGCATTTGCTGCTGGTGATGAATGGTTGGTGAGTTGGGATAGGCCATAAATAGCAACGGAATTGAGGAGGGGCCCATGTCTCATGTGCTGCAACTCCAACAGAGTTGAGTCCCACAGCTGACTGCTGTCCCCCAGCTGCTGACCTGCAGTCAGTCAAGCTGGCTTCATGTCTGCCTGCCTGCCTGCCTGCTGGTTCGCAATCGAAAGGGTTGCAAACGGGAGCAGTTCCTGGAGCTGCAGCCAGAATGAAATAGTGCTTGCTCTAGTTTTGCCCTATTCGTGTCCTCACAACAGCAAAGCGAAGAGTGCCACCATATCCATGCGCTACTTGCACATCGCAATTTCAGATTCAATGTATTGTAAAGTGTGGGAAATCCGCAATATCGGAAGGGGATACATACAGTGCTTTGAGATATAGTGGGCTGCAATGGGACCCAATGATACCAACCATGACTGTAAAAATGGCACACAGCAAGTGCGGTGGGAACTGGTTCTATGGCACACTTGTCCACATGTTGGCACTGGTTTCCTTCTCCACATCTGTACCAACTGGTTAGTGTGGAAGCAGCCGTTGTTTTGCTGTAAATGCTATGGTCCATGGGCCTTGCATATCGCACACACAAAGATTTGCTGCTCACTGCTGTTGTCCATAACGGACAGGAACGCCAATGCAAAGCTGTCCATTTGTTCCGCATCACCATGGACCATTTGTTTTGTGGGTATTACATGTCACAGGGCAGAAAGCAAATCTAGAAGGAAAGAAGGAAAGCGCAATTTTGTGCTACACTATCCAACCTGTTGCAGTGGCTTCAATACCATCAAAGCCCAGGTAGTCTGCAGGCACTGACAGAGAATACTGTGAAGTGGTCACTTCTCGGAGTTCAGTGTTCAACAATGGAGAACAAGTAGTGGAGGTGCCATCGATAGCTTCTGAGCAGGTGCTGGCAGCAACGCCAGGCCATAACCTGCAAAAGCAACACTGGTATTGGAAATTTGTCATTTTGCACGGGAGGAGCACAGCGCGGCTCTAGCGCACAACTGCTGCCGCCTGCCCATTCCTTTGCACATGACTTGTCAGCAGTACTAATTTTCTTTGCACTGTTGAAGATCCCAGGCCACAATCAATTTGCAGGAAAGGGGAGGAAGCTGCCCAAATAACACACGTTGAGGCCCATATCCACAACAGCATTCTTAGGTTCAGGGAGATAGCGGCTGTATAGAACAAACATCCAAACACATCGGCAGTGTTCCGCGCCTCGTGGACAGGTGCTGAGCAGATATGTATTGTTGGGAGCCTGTGCCGTTGTTCAGTTCTTCCAACGTGGCATGCCCGTTGGCTTTGATTGTCTGTCCCGTTTACTTTGTTTCCCTGTGAAATGGCGAATCTGCCGCGCAATGCTGCATCCCTTCCTTGGAAATTCGCCATGCTCGCAACGCTGGCCAAGCCTACGCCTGGCAGTGGAAAGTTGCTGGGGAGGCACAAGGATGCCGGCCCCCAGTCGGCGTGACATCTTGGTTTTCCTGCGGGAACACCAGCATGATATGACGTATGCCTGTGCAGGGGCCCGCCCCAAACTTACAACTGGCCCAGGCCCTGCAGCGCAGCGAAATGGCAAAGCGCCCTCCTCCCTGTTCTGGCCGGGGCGACGTCGAAGTCTGCGGCCTCACTCGGCGTTGGGCGCGGTGCAGCCCCAGCACTGCAGCACACCGTCCCGCAGCACTGCCTGCTGGTGCTCAAGGTCGTCAACATGGCAGCCGTGAGCGCACTTCATGCTCCGCTTGTGCGCTGGACCCCGTGGCCATGTTGCCGCTGCGGCCGCAGCCTGGAACAGATGACGTGGCATGAAAGTTGTCGAAGTCCACGTTGCCTCCAGAGAGTCGGACAAAACGGGGGGAATCCGCGACAAGATCAGGTTATCCCCTATCCGCTCTCCCAGGAGCCGAGGGAGGGCCTGACTTGGGAGCGAGGTAAGGTTTCGTGCGAGAGCGCGGGCCTTCGCGCGGGGCTGGCGCGGAATGGGGCTGCCCTGCAGGTGATTGGGCGTGCTGTCCCCAGCGGGGTGGCCTCAGTCACCTGGTCCGAGTACAGGCTTGGTCTGGTGTGCTTGGGAAAGGTGTTTGTGCTGGCCTGGGTCAGCGCTCGCAGGGCCTTCGCGCTGTTTCTCTTGTTTTGGGGACATCGCTGCTTTTGGAAAAGTCCTGAAAGGAGATGGCCGACGCACCTCGCTCCGCGATGTACTTTGCGACCTTCGCAGCAACTCACGCGGCGGACTGGCCCTTTCGCGCAGCGCCGCTTGGCCGGCTGGCGTCTCTGGCTGTTGCCCCAGGTACCTGTTGGATATTGGCACAAAATGGGAAAAGACGTGCGGGCTGAGCAATTTGGGACTGTCCCTCTGCTTTTTGTACACCGAGCGGTAGGGTGTTCGACGGTGGCGCCGCCCTCTGAATATGGCAGCGGAGGCACTGCTGAATGTGGGCAGTGTCCGCAGACGCAAGTCTTTGCGCAACCTTCGCGTTTCTGTATGGGCTGGCTGCCTTGCGTTATGCTTCGATGCGGCCGGGCCTTCTGCAAGGCAACATTTGCGGCTCTTCCTGGCGACAGTGGCACCTTTTGCGGTGGGCAGCTCACCACATGGACGCCCAGCCCAGCATTCATGTCTTGATATGTTTTGTGGGCTCAGGCTTTGGTGTCTTGGTTGCCGAGACTGCTGTTTCAGTTTGGGCGCTGCATTCGGGATACACGACTGTGCCTTTGTTCAGGTCGTTTGTCTTGTGGTCGACAAGGGAAAATGTCGTGGGCTCCACAAGGCAACGGGTGGGCCAGCGCCCCTGCCGCCCAGGACGAGCTGGCGCTGCGCCTTGGACAGCTGGCTCTCCGTGCTGGCGCTGGCAGCGACCCATCGCACCTGGTGTCCACAGGGGGGCATCCCCCTGCCCAGGCCTCCGCCTCCGAACACCTCCTCTCCCAAGCCAGGCAAAGACAACTGTACCAGGGGCCCAGGGTGCAGGGGATGCCTGTGCAGCCTGGTGTCAACATGCCCAAGCCTGCAAGACTGGCGCTTGGAGTTCGAGGAGCGCCCACCTCTGTTCCTGTTCTCAATGCTGGATTGATGCATGCTGCGCAACTTGGATTGGGAAGGGTTGGCAACTCTGCGGCTGGACCTGTGTTGGGTAGAGACCGCTACACAGGCAGTGCACCTCAAGGCATTGTGTCACCATCCAACCAGCAGCACCAGCAGGCTGCACTTCTGGCGCTTGTTCAGAATCAGCTCGCAGCAGCGCACATGCAGCAGCAAGGCTATGCAGGTGAAGTCCAGTCAGCCTGTATCACACTTCCAACCCTGGTTTGTGTTTTGGTCGTCGTGTGACTAAGAGTGTGTCACTCTTTCGTGCAGGAACGATCCCAGCTGTCCCATCAGTGGTGCAACAGACACCACCGTATGGCCAGAATCATGCAACTGCCGCAGCGAATCAGGCAAACATGATAGCAGCAGCCACAGCAACAGCAGCAGCACAACAAGTGGCAAGCATGAGGAATGCAGCAGCCCTCGCAGGTGAAACCCATTTGGTGTCTGGAATGAACCTGGAGGTTATCAAAGCCCTGGAATGTGTTGATGTTTTGCCAAGCTGGAATCGTAGACAGCAATGGACTTCAGTGTCCTATTTTCCTTGTGCTTGTTGGTTTCCCGCTGCCAGTCTTGCTCTCAGGCATGGCTTTCATGTTTGCAACCTGATTTGTTATGTGGTCTGCCATTCTGTGCTATTCAGCTCGGACATCAGTAGGCGCAAGCAATCCCAAGCGGCACATGCTTGGTGCAGATTTGTCAAGCTTGGGGCAGCAGCATTGGGGAGCAAATGGCCTTGCCCAGGGAGTGGCACATGGGGCAGGCGTTCTGCAGAATGGGCTGCAGGGCTCTTGGGGCTCCCAGCTGTCCCTTGCTGGCACCAATGGAGCACAGTTGCGGCAGCTTGCTCGGGGTGTGGGGCTGGGGCATGGCGTAGGGCCCGCTCTGAACAATACTGTAGCTGAATTGGGAGTGGGGAACCTTGGCCACCTGGGGGTGTTGGGGCAGGGAATCACTTCCCAAGCTAGCCCCATGGCAGGTGGCGGCCTGCAGACTGCTGGTCTTTTTGCACCATCGATAATGGCCAGTGCACCGATGTTGCCCATTTTGGGGGAAGACTTGACAAAACCAAATGTTCAACAGAAGCAAGGAGTGTTGCCAGGCATTGCGCCAGGGGGCCTTCGTTTGATGCAATCTGCTCCATCAGCCTTGCAATCGGCTGCATCCCTGGACTCTGTCAAATCTTGTGAGACAGGAATGACAATGGGAAGCACTGCTGGTGGCTCCCCGAAGCTCAGGTTGGCATCAGATGCCCAAAAGCTCAAAGCAGCTGACAGCGCGGCATCATCTGCACCAATGGCAGCCCTGGACGTATCCACCTTGACTCAGGCCCAAGTTAATGCACTTGTCAGTGCGCATGCACAAACTGAAGAGATCCGACTGTTGGCCGCACAGTTTGGTTTGTTGGGCCGGCCTGCTGGTGCTTCTCCTGCTGTGTCTAGTGGACCTGCTGTAGGTGTTCCTTCTTCCAGTACAGCACCAACGGCGGCTGGAGGAAGCACACACAGAGAAAGAGACGTGAGCACGCTAAAGACGCTAGGCCAGATGCTGGCAAGGACGGGGAACACGGTGGAGAGTGCTGTGCAGACAGGGCTCCTTGGGGGCTGCAATGCTGAGGATGTGAAGGTTGTGTGGGAAGCATATGCTGCGGAATTGACTGGGATGAAGCAAGCCGCCAGCCTGGGGTCAACGTGGAGTATGGAGTTGCCCAAGGGAAGGCATCTGGGCACCTCGGTGTTGCCCACTTCCAACCTTGTTGCGCAGCCAACTGCAAGCGAAAACGTGGGTGGGGTAATTGGGGACAAAAGGGAGGCCCCTAGCCAGGTTGCAGACCAGCCTGTCATGCTACAATCGTCTGCAGCTGCTGAATCCACCAGTGCGGGCGCCCCGGCCCTGTCCTCTGCTCAAAGAGAGATTGCAAACCAAACAGCTCGGGAAGAGGAGGTGGAAGAGGAACCAAATTGGGACGAAGTTTTCGAGAATGAAGAAAAGTTGGTGCCGTCACAAGTAATTTCGGCAGTGAACGACAGTGCTGCAGACCTTCTGACTGCTGGTTTGAAAGTGCCCTCAGAAGGGGCATTCAATGCCTTCAGTTATGGTTTTTTTGGTGGTGCTGTGGATTGTGGGGGAGAGCTACTGGAAGATAGCTTGGAAGATCTTCAGAAGCCAGAGGGAGGCGATAGCGACGTTGGTAATGGCAAACAGAGCCCTGCAGTGTGGGAGACACTGGCACAGGAGTGGGAAGAACTTGACAGCGAACTGGAAAAGCCATCTTGATTGCCGATGCAGAGGAAAACCGGCAGAAGCAGGGCTTGACAATCATGGGTAGTGACGAAACTCGTTTACAAGAGGTGGGGGATGCTGCACTCACCAAGCAGGCCAGCAGCGTGAGTGCAGGCCACTAACGGGTTGCACAAGGGCAAGGGGCAAAGCAATGCGGTGTCTGTGTGGGGCTGCAAGGGCGAAGCCCTGGGCAAATTTTTGGTGCTGGTGATTGGGGGGATGAGGGTGGGTACTGATTTGATTTTAAGTGTGGGATCTTGTTGAAAGCCAGGTGTGGTGTACGGAGGGAGGCTTGTGTACAGTATAGTGGTGCTGATGCCGATACCTGTCTGTCTCTGCGGGACGATTGAAGGTTGTATTCGCCATACAGCTCAGCAGGATGCGTATACTCTACAACGATCTCGGGTGGTGATGAAAGGGCGTCTGCAATACAATGCAAATTCAGTCGATGGGCAGGACGCTGTGTGGCATGGCAGCCAATAGCCGCACAGGACTGAGTTCGTGCTTGCTGATGTAGCTTTTGGACCACCCTGGTTTTTGGCGTTTCCTGGTGGCTGGGAATCACACGAGTGTGTGCCCTGGTGATCAATTTTTTTTTCATTTAATTCATTGGGGATGTTGCATCCCTTTTGCAGCAGGGGCCTTTGATGGGTACAAGACGGTCCTGGACGAGTACCGAGGGAAAAGGGGCCGCAGGAATGAGCACCATGACTGAAGATCTGGTTTTGTTGAATTCTAGCAAGGATTTGAATTGCGTGTTCCTGAGGATCCTGGCTGACGCATGGCCAGCTGAGGGTGGCCTTGGAGCTTGTCTGGGAATTGGGCAAATTCGTTGTTTCGGATATGGTCTGCTGGAGACGCTGCAGACCTTGGAAGCTCGAGCTTGAAAAAGGGAACACGCACGATAGAAAAAGACTATAGTGCGACGGTATTGTGGGGTGCGTATGTGCCTGTGCGTTTGTTGTTAGCGCAATTCAGGAGATTTAATTTGGGTCGTCCAACGTGCTGAGAGCATTTGTTTCATTTTTAGGCACATCTATCTTCTGTTGGGCAGAGATTTGTTATTGAGAGCCATGCCAGGAGTGGTCCTGCTATCAGTGCCAAGCCTGGTGGTACTAGCAACCTGCGGTGGTTGTGCAGGGCCAATTCATTGAGCGTGGCGTTCGTGTATTTTTGGAGTCTGGGTGGGGGCGACGGTCTGTTGGGTATGCAGTATTGTGGACTTGCCGATGGCTTTTGCTTTCTGGATGGCCACGGGGGCGTTGAGCAGCCAGGAGCGTGGGTGCGCCGCAATGGGAGGGTCGTTTTGTCATCCTGACCTTGTTTGGGATTTGTGTTTCGAACAAATCCTACGATAGATATGAAGTTTTAGATGCAAATAAGACGTGGGTGAGTCTTATGAACCATGGTGCCAATGTATGTGCTGGACCGAATTGTTGCTTTATGAGGCACAGAATGACATCAATGAATGGGGAGAACGTTCAGGTCTTGGGATCGGAGGATTTGTTGGGTGCCTAAGGCTTGGACGATGCCGTAAGGGAAGGGCTTGACAGTAAAAGGTAGCTCACCTCGTGCGGGTCCTGTGTGCGCCACAGCAGGCGCATTTCGACTGTGCTGCCTCGTAGCGTCACGTCTCTGACCGTTCGCAATCCAGGCTCGACCTGTGATGTCGCGACATAGCAGCTGGACAGTTTGCTGCAAATTTCGCTTACTCTTGGTGCCTTGCAGCCACATGCAAATAGCGCTGGCACCACGCTGCGCCGAAGTGAAACAATGGACCTCCCCGCTATCGCTGCCACGTCGGTCACGCCAGCCAGGATTGCCGCACCAAAGGGCCAGTTGCCCAGTCCTGCCGCCCCTGTGGCGCTATTGCATCACCGTGCCCTCGTGGAGTCGCATCTTTTGGTGCCAGCAAGCGCATCGCAGGCAGGGATACTGGAGGCATTCCAAACGCCGATGGCGGTTCAACCGGCCTCGCAATACCTGGCGACGCTTGGCGAGAGCCATCCCACCCTCCACTCCATCAACCAGTACATTGACGTGCCACCTCAATTTGCACTACAGTATCTTGTGCTCGGTAGCAAGCAGGGGATCATGGTACCATGATCAGCACCGGTGCTGTGTTGTACCCATACGCTTGCCTTGCTTGTTCGAGGGACCCAGGGGTAGGCTTTCACAAGGCGCAGCCACGCAGATGGCTCAGCATTTTGGTGGCCAAAAGGACCGCACTGGAGTGTTGTGTGCAGCAGAGGATCAACTGCGCCCAGCGAGCACAACAGCACCACTTACATCCCAAAAAAGATCACTCCACAGTGGTCCGTGTCCAAAAAGCAAAGCATCCTTTCTCGTAAAAATGGGGATCTTTTCGTGGCATTTGAGACATCATGGCCCGTCCCCATACAACGATCTGCAATGATTGTTCAGTCCACCTGGTCTAGTGTGGGCATTGTAGCAAGATGTTCGCACGTGTCTTGCACCTACACTACGTCGATGAAGGCTAGACACCCCCTAACCCCACTTGTTTGGCCCGGCAATGGACCATGGCTTGCACCTGCCTATGCTGCAACGCATTTGAGCAATGACATCACCACGGGCACAAAAATGCAGACGCGATGCCTCCGAGCGAGGACAGTTGCTGCCACTGGTGAAAACAAATCCCCGACGTAGTGCCCACCTAATCTTGACCACCTCAGCATGCAACAGGAATTAGCATCACCCGGGTGTCTGAGACAGACAGGAGTCTGCCCACTGTCAATGTGCGACTGCACCAAGGCCCAGGACTCCTAAATTGAACGTCAAGCCAGCAGCATAAAAAGCCTTATCATGGGATTTCGTCCAGTCACAAGCAATCATCCACACCGCCTCATTAACCATCGTCAACCGTCATTAACACCGCCTAGGCTGTGTCTGGCTTGCTGGGCGTCTCAAGCTGCCTGGGTTCCGGAACGTGTGAATGGCAGGGTAAGGCCTTGTATGTGACCAATCAAACAGCAGCAGCACCTGCGTTCGTCTCTTTGGTGATTAAGCCAATCGCAGTTTCATCCGCAACTCCTGGCCTCTGGGAAACCGACACTGGGGAGGCTGTGGCCCTCCACACCCAGTTGTACACCACACCACACAAGACAACCAGCACAGCCATGACTATCAGTCCGTACCACCAGGTCCTGTGCCACTTGTCATCCTCGAATATTGGAGCCAGCAACAGTGAAAGGACGGACATCAACTTGATGAGGATGTTGAGAGCAGGGCCTGAGGTGTCCTTGAACGGGTCGCCAATGGTGTCACCGACAACACACGCCTTGTGGGTCTCGCTCTTCTTGCCTCCAAAGGCATCTTCAATCTCAACCAGCTTCTTTGCATTGTCCCATGCCCCTCCTGCATTGGCCATCATGACAGCCAGAACAAAGCCACTGCTGATCGACCCAATCAGCATCCCCCCCAAAGCTTTGGCACCAATCAGAAGGCCCAACAAAACAGGCGACAGAACAGCAATGATGCCTGGCAACAGCATCTCTTTGATTGAAGACCTTGTGCAGAGGGCAACGCAACGAGAGGAGTCACAAACAACGCCATCCCTGCCATCCAAAAGCCCGGCGATTTCTCTAAACTGCCGCTGGACTTCGCCAATTATGCTTCCGGCAGCTTTGCGAACGCTCAACATAGTGAATGCACCAAAGAGAAATGGCAGCATCGCCCCCAGGATCACCCCTGACAAGACGACCGGTTCTGTAAGGTTGAGCTCCAGCTTGGGGTTGACGACCAGCCCGGGTCTTTCGGCAATGTCGTTCAACACATCCTCCGCGTCAACCTTCACGTTCTCAGAAAATGCTGTCATCAGCGACAGTGCCGTGAGGACTGCAGAGCCGATTGCGAATCCTTTTCCAGTAGCCGCCGTGGTGTTTCCAAGAGCATCTAGCTTGTCGGTCCTGTCTCTCACCTCCTCGCCTACACCGGGTGTCATTTCAGCGATGCCACCAGCGTTGTCTGCCACGGGCCCATAGGCGTCCGTGGCCAGAGTCACCCCCAGCGTGCTGAGCATGCCCACCGCCGCAACCGACACGCCATAGACGCCTTGTAGCTCAGAACAGCCCAAGATCGCCGCGGTGATGATGACCACCGGCGGCACAGTGCTGAGCATGCCAATGCCCAGGCCCTGGATGACGACAGTCGCCGATCCGCCCAGCGTGGCCGCCTCCGCGATGGACTTCGTGGGGCGGTAGGCATACGACGTGAAGAACTCCGTGGACTCACCCACCAGGATGCCTGCCACCAGGCCTATGACCACGCAGGAGAAGATCTTCCACTTGTCGGCGCTGTCGTGGATGTCGTTTTCGCGGAAGAGGATCCACGCCGCGAGGGCGGAGAAGCCCACCACCAGCAGGGATGCGGAATACACCCCGGAGTGCAGCGCCCACAGCAGCTGCTTCTGCGTGGCATTCGGGCCAGTCCGCACGAAGAAGAAGCCCACGACAGACGCCAGCACGCCGAAGCCGGCCACCCAGAAGGGGTAGGCGATCTGCGCGTTGCTGTTGGCGAGCGCGGCCGCGGCGATGAGGGAGCCCACGAAGGACTCGAAGAGGTCTGCGCCCATTCCCGCGACGTCGCCCACATTGTCGCCGACGTTATCCGCTATGGTGGCCGGATTCCGGGGGTCGTCTTCCGGGATGTCCGCCTGTACTTTGCCAACGAGGTCGGCCCCCACGTCAGCGGCCTTGGTGTAGATGCCCCCGGCGACGCGGGCGAACAGCGCGATGGACGAAGCCCCGAACCCGAAGCCGCTGAGGAATCGGATGGCCTCGCGCATGTTGGCCTCCCACCTCTCCGCCGCCTCCCCGTCGTCCACGGAGAAGGGGCCCTCCCGGGTCAGCGAGAAAAGCACCAGCAGAACCGTCACGCCCAGGATGCCGAAGCACACCACCGTGAAGCCCATCACGGCGCCCCCCGCGAACGCGATTTTGAGCGCCGGATTCAGGCCCTTCTTCGCGGCTTCCATCGTCTTGACGTTCGCGATGGTGGCGACTTCCATTCCCGCCCAGCCCGCAGCGGCAGATAGCGCGGTCCCCACCAGGAAGCACACCATAGACTGCCACCCGCCCTTCTGGTCGAAGGCCTCGTACCCGGTCGCGATGCCTTCATCCGGGTTTGCGAATCGGAACTCCTTCGGCGGGGGGTCGTCCTGCCCCTCCAGCACCCCCACAATGAAGGCCGCCATCCCCGCGACGAAGGGCAGCAAGAAGAGGTACTCCGTCCTCAGGAACGCCCTGGCACCGTGCCTAATCTGCTGAGAAATCGTGGCCTGCATGCCGCTGCCGCTGGACGCGGTCCTGACCCGGAAGCACAGGAAGGCCGTCATAAGCAGGGCCAAAAGGCCCGCGAAGAACGGCACGCTGGCCACAATCAAGGGGTTGATGTCGCGGTCCTCCATGGCGACCCTTCAGTGCGGACGGCAGCCGACGGGCTCCGCTGGAAGAGCAAGGAACGCGAGCGCCACTCGCTCCAGCCGCTGGACGCGGGCCCTGAAGTCCTGTCCGCGGCGAATCCCGACCGCGCCACACCTCGACCACAAAAGTGCAAAAGCCTCGAGTTGCCTGGCTCCAGAGCGACTCGCGCGGCGGACCTCCACGTGCCGCCCAGCGGGGGGGGATTGTCTTAAATCCCCACCAATGCTTCGCGAAGCCCCCAGATTCGGCGCTCCACGTCGGCCATCACCCGCCATACGGTCCGCGTCCGCACACCGTGGCGCCCCGTGGGGATGATTTGGGATCGACGTCACGGCACGTGGATGGGCAGAAGCTGTACCTCGGGGCTTGTGGACAAGGCAGGCAGCAGCCTCCACCGCCCAAGGACGGCTGCCTGGTGGGCTTCTGCGGCCCGCCTGCTTTTCTGCCGCTTGGCATACGGGAACGACCCGTCTGCAGAAGGGGCGAGGCCTTCGCCTGGAGTGCCGTCAAAAGTGGATGACGACATTGGAAACGCGCGCCTGTGCAAGGGCGGATCAAACTAATGTGGCGCGGGCTTCAACGAAAAGGTCACGGGGCCGGAGAGAGCAACATTGGTAGCCATCAGCCGCACGGTCATTCCTCGGCCAATGAGACCCTGTGTGCCATGACGATATCAGCAGCGAAAGGGTGCCCTAAATTCACACAGATCGCCACACAATGCCCAACATATCGATGAGTTATTGACTGACAAAGGAAAAGTACAATTGCTGCAGCAAAAATCACAACTTTCACTGGGTCATGAACAATGACAAGACCACTGCACAAAATGGATAAGGAAACGAAGACAAACCGATGAATCCTCCAGTTTAAGTTGGGTTTTGGTACACTTGGTGGCCATACGTAAATCGATGTTTGTATATCGATATCGACATGGTGACTGCTCTAATCTCCTTCGCTTTTCACGTCACAGAGAACTACACTAGCTTCGTTTTGACAGCAAAAGAAATGCAGTGTTCCATTCATGATGTCAGCGCCAAACAAGTTGCAGTGCCCCAACTGCACACTCTCAAAACAACCATAAATACTTGGTTTGTACTTGGTCCGTGCCTTGAAAAGATTAGGTGCCTGTCACCACCAATGTAATTTTGTTAAACAAATTTGCTTGCGCTGCTACACATACTTTATGAAGTATAATTTCCAATTTTTCGTATTGCTGTACAGGCTCAGCAGATTCCTTCTTTTATTGCTTTCTGATTACCCGACCACCGCCCCCATTTACCCGTTTACATTTCCTGGGCCAGCCTCGATCACATTTGGGTATTGGCCGGCAGTTTTTTCTGTGTCTTTTGGACAGATTCTTTGCTATCCAACTGCCTGGGCTCACCTTCTTCCCTGAATGCTTAAATTTGCACACAAGGGTCAGAATGCCATTTCAAAGACGCCCACTTGCTTGTGTGCAAACTGCGAAATCTTTGCATCGTGCCATCCTGGTACACGGCTAGGCAGGCCAAAACATATGAATTTGCCGATAACCCATAAATTTCAGTATTTAGAAATTGCCCTAGCTGTTAAATTCTGAGTCGGCACCCACACTCTGCATGGAGTTTCCACCAATATATATCAGGGGGAAAGCACTGCGTTTATTGAAGCATTGCATAGTTTGTG